ATCTGTACAGTTGTGCAGGAGATGGGAGTGTCCTGCAGCACAGAACTGGACATTTCATGGATGACCCTGTGGACGTTAACGCTCTGATCTTGAAAACTAACAATCTTAAGGTACAGTGTGAGAATTTATTACAAGCCTTTTCTATGAAAATGTGGATCGTAGATAGAAAGTCGATACAAGACTGACCTCATGTTAGCTGCAACGGAATGCAAAGTTTTTCTTAGCAGATGTGTTTCAGTCATGTATTGTTTACGGAATGCGTACTTAGTACTTGCCAATGACATACATTCATGAAAACCTGCAGAAACTTGAACATTTTTGACGTTGAGTTTTAAACAAAACACAGAACACAGCTATCAGTGTAGGTACGAACACCAGCTTATAAACGACAATTTTCGTTGTCCTGATGTAAACTCTTGTGCATGTATATTTTCTCGTAAATTAGCCCGCTCAATATAAACAATAGGTGGTACAGACAACAGACACATTCCCTGACCGGCCTTAGCCTGCGAGCAAGCTCTCCATTTGGGGAATATCATGAAAAGTAGGCGCGCGAGAGCCACGCGAGAGGAGACGCGACAGCCGCATGCTCGGGCGTGCTCGCCCGGCCCGCTTTCGCTCGCCCAAATAGGAGTGCTTGTTCGAAGGCTAGACCGGAGTGAGACGATATTTTAATACAAAAATACCGACACTGGTCAGCCTGACTGATGATCTACGTATACGTCTTACCAGGAAGTCCGGGTAGTTGAATGCCCGGGGGGGGGAAGTACTCCCCTATATAAGCCATATGGGTATGTGCCGCCCTATCGGGTAGGGTTTTGGTCTGAAAATGGGTGTACACTTTGCCCATTTTGGTCTGGAATCGGGTATGGTTTTCGTGAGAACTACGGGAGTGTATGAACGTATTTACAGTTTCAAATCCAAATGAGTAAGAAAGAAAGAGAAATATTCGAATCACAATGGATTTGAAGAATTGTTTTGTTTGCGCTCTAATCTAAGTAATGAAAACATAATTTCTGCCTAAAGACCAGGTCTGAAAACGGGTATGGAAAATTACATTTTTTGGTCTGAAACAGGGTTAGGATTTGGAGAATCGGGCGGCACACCCCCACCAAGAATTCCCAGGAGTACCCCCCGCGGGGTTGAATGTTAAAGTTGAAATGAAAAGCCGAGCAAAATCACAGTGTTTGAAAGGCTGATGCGGCGAAATATCAGTAATTTGAAGCACAGTACAGCTCAAACTAACGAGCGAAGTTCCCTCCTCCTTGTATAACATTAGTAATGGTACAGTCACACGACATCACAGACCTCTGTTTCCGTTTACTTGTACGGGTAAATTACTCGAACCCGTAACTGTAAATACGGGTAACTTAAACGGCTAGGTGGCCTGGTAGATCGGTAATGCCATTATCACAACTGGAAATCATAAATGCGTGTTCTACAACCACGTGCAAACATGTTGGCCTAGTTGTAACCGTGTAGAAAAACAGTGTATCGTGAGGACTCTATCGTTCTGTTCCTTTTATGCTGTGCGATTTAATCACTGTATCAATTCTTTGTACCAATTTTCAGTTTTTCAATTTTATTTAAGCTCGATAGCGTGAGGAGTGGTTGCCCAATCTCCCGAGCCAGGGGCTTATGTATTAAACGCTCGAGCATTCCGGATCGAATTGGAATTTAGAAATACCAATATACAGTGTATGTTATATGGACACTTTGGCCTGACCCTTTAGTGTGTTAATTCAGCGAGTCAGTTTTGTAGTTAGAGCATCAGTTTTTGAGGGGTGGTGTTTATTATTGTTCTTGTGTTGTTGCGAGAACATTTGCTTTGGTTTTTGATCTCAAAATATATAACAAAAACGTACATATCTGGGACTCCCTTCACTACCCTTTTGAGTTTTTTACCCCTACTCCCAAAGTCTGTACGGACGGTGTACGCTGACGTCATAACCAAATTCTCTGGCATCGCTAGGTTTCCAGTTCTAAATTTCTATCCCGTGATAGCTATGGGGCTCCGCTATAACAAAAAAAGAATCAGTGTATAGTTTCATGTCACGAGTCACGTTCATTATGATACCCTTAAGTAATGAGTTTCTAAATTTTACCTTATTGCTCGTATACCTACAGCACAAGCCATTTGGTCGCACAGATGTGTCTTGGAATCTAGATGGTACAGTTTTGGCTCTGGGTAATGAAGACGGGTGAGTTTTTTGATATATAATTTTTCGATTAAGGTGTATTTTGTTCCGTAGCAAAATTAACACATCCAGTTCTGGCGATGAAATCATTTCCAAATTCACCGCGTAGAAGAAACTATTCCTGATGCCCATCTGTGGTGGCGATTCAGATCTGTCAAAACTAGCCGGCCAAATCAGTCAGTAGAGAGCTTTAAATTCTGAGACGAGGACGACTACGAAGACGAGATTTTCTCAATACTAAGTATTGTTCACGGGTGAACATCATCATCCCTGATGATGCCGTTGATCGGCGAAAGCTTGGATTTCAATTCTATTTTTTTTAGAACAGCAGTTTAAGGCTTCATTAGAACAATATTTTTATTTTTACAATCATGCTGAAGGACATGAACAGATTATCAGTCGTTGTTTTTGATTTATCAATGTAGGTCAATTGAAGTGTATATACCTCCAGACTTGATGCAGGTGGCTATAATTATTACCCACAAGAAAAGTATCACTACGCTTGTATGGCATCATGGATACAGCGAGCTTAACACCTCAGGTAAGAATAATCTGCTTTATTTTTTGCCAGATTGACTCGGCAGATGAATACCGCACAGGTTGTCGAAACGTCAGTAACTGTGAACAACGATTCAACGATTCAGGACTACGTTCACCCGGACGATGAGGGTCCCCAATAGGGTTCTTCAAACCCGTAATCCCGACCCAAAATTTCGTGTAATCCTGTAACCTTAAGGGTTATTTTTGGCATCCCACCTCCCAAGCATACTTTCAATCTCAAAACTCGCCCCGATTTTGCTTTAAAATCTCGAATCCCGAGCTTCAAATAAGGGAAATCCCGGATCCCGAGCTTCAAATAAGGGAAATCCCGGATCCCGAAAAACCTTTTGGGGGTCATTGACGATCATACTCAACCTACTTACAAAATGACTCCTGGGTTCAAACCTTTCACAGTGTTTAGTGGATAAAACCTTGTGGAGTTGCCAAGTAGTCTGCGTGGCTGCCGAAAAAAGGTGGGGAGGAGAGGTCAAGCAAAATGCGAAAGCGATAGGGAAGGATACTTTTACCCTCTCCCTTCCTCCCCCTCTCTTTCGACACCTACCACTCAGGGCACCTTGTTATCGGAACGCTGGACTCTTTATTCTGTGTTCCTGGTCTCACACCGATCATCAGCTGGATTTGTTCAAATCCTGGGCCACACTTGAAATTACCCACCTGGTTTGCCCTCTATTAGTTAGGATTCCTTCCTGGGAAGCACGTTAGGGAAGTTTGCATAGGAACAGGGGGGAACCAGGGGAGGGGCCCGGAGGGCCGCACCCCCCCCTCCCCCCTTTATTTTTAGAGCAACCTTAGGCCCGAAGGGCTAAAAAAAATTTTTTTGGAGACCAGGTCCCCCCATTTATCTAAGGGTCTGGATGACGATGCCGGATCCAAGGTCTGGATCCGGCACTGAGGAGTTTGCTGCTATAGCCTTTAAACCCTGATCTTCTCAAAGGCATTTATTACCCCTCCCTATTCAAGACAAGAGTCCTCTTTATGACCCTGATTCATTATAAATCGCTTACAGAATAAAGTATTGGACATCATAGAATTATATATTTTAATGAAAATTGTTGAGGGCACGCATATGGACCGCGCACTAGCCTGTTGCAGGCTCTCAGATGGTGGGGAAGATGCAGAAGACTGGGCAAGACGCCAAACTGAAAGGTACGCGAAAGGGGGTATTTTGATGTTCGCGCTTTCTCAATCCCCGCGGACCCGACTATCTCTGAGCCTGGAACAGGCTAACCGCGCCTCGCCGGTCTAGAACTATATCCTGCACAGTGACGAGGTTTACTTGTCCGATAGAGAAGTGAAATGGAAAAAAGATTCTTTTGCCCAGTACTCTGATATTCCATTTTCTTGTTAGGTTTAACTGTAGATGATAGTGGAAGCTGTAAGTATTGGCTGGCTTCAGGATCTAACGAGTCCACGATACATGTCCATGATCTGAGCAGCTTGCTGGGTACGATGTGTGTGTGTGTGTGTGTTTACATGATGACGTCATCGTCTTTCTGTTTGTGCAACATCTTGTCATTTAGTCGAGTGTAGTGAAACTCATCAGAAGTACGCAAACGCAATCAATTTTTCTTTTTCCAGACGCTTGGCACAACGGTCTGTCAATGATTTAATCGTTGTTGGTTTTTTAAGCCTTGTTGTTCCTCTTTGCTAGGAGTAAACTACGAGAGACGCAGTTCATGCAAATTGACACATATCGTTAATGCATCTGACCTTTATTTCGATCATTAAAAAGATTTGGCTCAGGCGGCATAAATTTTGCATTTCCTAACTGCAAAGTTCTCGTGATATAAAAAATTAAATTTCTCTTGTATGGTATAGATTTTTAAAATTAATGATTTCAGCTTGAAGACGTACTCCCATTTATCTTTCCGGTAACTAATATGTTTGTCCTGTTTACAATCAGGTCATTCATCCGGCCCCAGCCCTCGCTCCGCTCCCCTTACTGAGTCTTTTCGACAGCTGCCAGGTCACTCAGGCCGTGTCACATGTTTGAGCTGGAGTCCACACCAGTCGGAATTGCTGCTATCTTCGTCGTATGATGGGACTGCGCAGGTAGGAAAACAACGTGGCTTTAATGTGTGGAAAAGTGTCCTTTGTCCTAAATAATTTCCCCTGGGGTAAAGAAACTGTTCAACGAAAGAGTGGTCGTACAAGTGGAAAACTACTTCCCCTACGACCACTCCCACTTCTCTCCCCCACCCAGTGTAACCCATGATAAACAAACTTTAAACTCTTGTTATATTCACACGCCTCGCAGTAATGTTTTGGTCATGGTAAGGGGAATTTTGTCCAGATCTTTCTTCATTTCGCCATAGTTGGTAGACCAAGAACTTATTTGTCTCTCTTTCAAGGTTTGGGATGTAAAGAAAGGAGAACCACTGTACAATTTCCGCGGACACAGTAACCGTGTGATGTGTGTAGTGTGGAGTTATCTCGATGCTGACCTTGTGTATAGTGGTGGAGAGGATGGTACTGTACGGCCCTGGAGACCGTCACTTCAGCAGAATCGACAACCACCGGTGCCAGGTACCCTGAGAATTAAAACAGAACTGAATGCAAGGCTGGAAATACGGCAAAGGGCTGATTTATTTGAGGCCAACAAAAGTAGCCTTACTCAGGGCCAGAGCTACAATGAAAGGGAATACTATAACGGCTCCCTGAGGATGCTCAGCTCTTGGCGTCCAGTTTGTAGGAAATTTGCAAAAAGGGGAGTTGAATAGAAAAAACAAACGAGCTAAAAACAACTAATAAAAAAACTGCAAAAGACTACTTTTTAGCACTTTCTACTCTCTGAATGCCTGGAACAGGCCACCCTGAAGACATCTCCAGGCCCTCAGATCGTGAAAAACAACACTGAGAAAAAGGCGCGGAAATTATGCATTACGTGCTAAAAGACAAAGAAGAAATCGCAGATTGGAATTTCTGCGCCTAAATCATTCGCTTTCAGTCGCTCAGTTTTCTGTGGGTGGCTCCTCCAATTCCAATCTAATCGCCCATTTGTTAGGAAATTTGTCAGAGGATGATAATTAATAACTGTTTTCAGCAAGCTCGTCATTCTGACCCTCTAGTAATTTTTTTTGTAACAGAAAAATAAAAAGAATCTTTTAAAGACTGTTTACGCGGTTATATGACAGTATTACTGACAGTGTGACTAATCCAATTTTTTTTTCTCCATTTTTATGCAGAAAAGAAATCGTCTCATTCTACAAGCAAGTCCTCAAAAAGCAAAAAGAACAAACACAAGGCAAAAGGAAAGACAGAGACTACAGAAGTTCACACTGAATCTTGGCAGGAAGAAATAGAACCCAAACCTGACAGCAATGGAGCGAGGACTGCCCATAGTCAACACAACAGCAGGGTTATCTCACAGGAAACTGAAGTAAGTTCTCACTTGGAGGCGAATGGACCCCAGTCAAACCTCAATGCGGCTACAAGCGAAAAAGGTGAGATTGTAAAATCCCAGCAGGATGAGACGGAAAGGAAAGCAAATGTGGAGGAAAATGAGGAGAAGAATGTGAAAGAGAATGGAGACGAAGTGACACGTGCAGCTGAGTTGAAGGGGGAGGAACCTGAAATTGAAGGGATGAATCCACCAGAGATGAATTCTCCCGAGATGACCATGACTGAACAGAGGAAGGCTGGTATGGTGTTTCAACAAGAGCCAGTTGTTCCCCTGCGTTCCAGAGGTAAACTGGTTTCTTTCATTTTGTCAAAACTTCGAACACTGATTTTATTCACAGACATCATACATGGAAGTAGCTTCTCACGGAGACGTTCTTAGAGCTACGATACACGTCCTGTCACGCGTTCCTTGACGTGTGACGAAGCCCCAAGAACGTCTGTGTGGGAGACTAACAAGGAAGAATATCCTAGCAAATACTGGCAAGTGTAACCCGTTTGAATACATTTCATTCCTCAGTCACACTTCAAGCATCCTCATCCTCCTCCTCCACAAAGATGTTCTTAGAGCTTCGTCACGCGTCCCGTCACGCGTTCCAACACGTTTCTTAACGCGTATAAACAAAGCCCTAAGAACGTCCGCATGGGAGACTAAGAAGGGAAAATTTCCTTGCCCATACTGGCAAGTGTAACTCGTTTGAACACTTCTCATTCCTCAGTCACACTTGAAGCATCGTCATCCTCCTCCTCCTCCAGATGTTCCTAGAGCTTCGTCACGCGTCACGCCTTCCTTAACGCATGACTAAGCCCCAAGAACGTCTGCGTGGGAGACTAACAAAGAAGAATATCCTTGCACATACAGTAGCTCAGTAGCTCGCTTGAATACTTTTCATTCCTCAGTCACACTTGAAGCATCCTCATCGTCTTCCTCCAAGAAAAAGAGAAAAGTCAAATCTATGCTGCCACTCTCTGCTGTTGCTGACAACAAATCCAAAGCAGCGACACAAGAAGAATGCGTGGAACTGGCAAAGATTATCTACGGTGAGGTTATCCTGAAATACCTCAACCCCTCGGAAAGGGTTGTTGTTGCGTACCAATATCATGTTCTAAATTCCCAAAGGTCTTGATAGAACGGGTTTAGTGTGAGTTGAACGCGAAATAAATTTTGCTGCATTTTCGATGGGCTCTTTGCAGCTAGTTACTGAGTCGCTTGGTACAAAATACAGCATGCGGGTGAGCAGGAAATGCACTTATACAGGAAAACAATGAAGATTAACGTTTTGTATTATGGGAGCGTTTTGTTTGTCGTTTCCTAGTGCGTTGCTTGTTCTCCAGTGGGGCGTTTTTGTGACACGTGACTGATCAGCTGCAAAACCGGGCCTATTGGTCTACTCTGTGATTGGTAAAAAAATATTCGTTCCGCTTCCTCAACTAATCAGTGATTTTACTGAAACGAATTAGCGCCAGTGGTATTGCATTCGTATTAAACCCTTCATCCCGCTTGTCTTGTCACTGGGTTAGCTATTTAGCTAGACAATGACAGAATTTATAAAATGCTTGCTGATGATGGCAGGTGTACTTGGTTTACCCACAATCACTGATTACGCAGAGAGACCAGCGCCAGTACATTATGAAGGTCTACTTGAGATATCTGTTAAATCATATTCAAAAACTCTCTTCGGTCTGTGATTAATTTTAAATAAATCGACAACATTTATACTTTTTTTGATGACCTACTCATTTTTCAGGTCTAGGCCAAGCTGATAATAAGAGTTCAGAAGATTCAGGTGCACACAGCATTGCTGGCTCAGAGGAACTTGTAAACCTCGGGTTATTTGCAGATAGGTGTGGAGCTTACAGGATGCTTGCCACCGAGGGTATTTACACCCCTTTAATTCTAGTTCTCTTTTTCTTTCTGATTAACAATGTCAGGCTCTAATTTTTCTATTGTTTAGTTTCTTTGCTCACGACGTGCTGAACGATACAAGTCATTTTTATAACCGAATGTTGTGTGATGTGCTATAAAATCGTAAATGAATTCAGTTTCAACCTTACCACTTTGGGAGACCTAAACAATATAATAAACCAGGAATACATTAGCTTGTCTCTTTGCAGCTATGGACGGACAAATACAAATATCTCATTATCCACCCCCCCCCCCCCCCCCCCCCCCTTCACATAAAGCTGTGTCTGTTCTTTGTGACTTATTAGCAGAAAAAAAAAATACATCCCCTCATCCCCCCCCCCCCCCCCCCCGATGCTTTTTATGGATAATTTATGACAGTGTGTGAGTGATCGGGGAGACTTTGCCAGACTCCTGGTAGGAGCAAATAGCTCGCTTTTGTTTTACAATCATGAGTTATGAGTGCCCTTCTTGTAAATTGGAACTAAGATAAACTGAAGAGACGCTCTTCACTGATAGAGGTTTCTCTTTTGTCCCTGGTGCTTTTTTCACGTCCCACTGAGTCTAGTGAAAGTACTCTAACACCAGCCCCACGCTTTTTCTTCTTAATACGAGTAGACTAGAATCTCTGATTCCCTTTTGTAGGTCAGCATCACGAGGAGAGTGGTAACCTTGACTACAAACTTCAGCTGGAGATCTGGAAAGGGAATTTAGGTGGAGCGCTGGAGATGGCTACTAACAGCAAACAGCTCAATGACTGGCTTGTGGCTCTCAGTCCTCTAGGTAACACGGTATTCCTTTCTTACATAATTTTCGTCCACACAAAGCACAATCTTACCATTTCAATTTCTGCTCAACAACAAGAACAGCAACAACAACCTTTATTCCGTATTCCAAAAACTATTTTGAGCAATGTGTACAAGCTTCCGGCGCAATGATTTCTGGCATGGTTTGGGTGGACAAGCGTGGCTTATGATTGGTTAATGATTGCCATGAATACCATCGACCAATCAGAACTAACGATTGTGCACCCAAACGATCCCAGTAATCACTGCGCCCAAAACTTGTACCCATTCTCCCTAGAGAATTATAACAGCACTAGGACAACTTCAATCCAACTAATGCATATTTTAATGTTACTAATTACCACAGGGCTAAAAGACCAACAAAGCTCCGTTTAAATATATTCAACCTGCGCGTACTGAGAACTGATTGAGCCAAAGCAAATGCGTTACAATAAAACGATTATTAGATAACAATGTAACATTCCTAAAGCTTTTCTGTAGAGTTATACCGTGAGTGCCAGAGACTTTTCTAGCGCGGTTTCCGGTTTCTGTCGGCCTTCATTCGGCCAACACCGAAAATTCCCGCCGCACGCGAGAAAAACCTCTGATACCCAGGGTAGTAGAGTTATATATTGAAGGTAAACGGACACCTTTAGGACCCAGTTGCACTAAGTGTTCGTCTCAGACAGATGTTCGTCTTATAGAGAGTCAAATAAAAGGAGTAAAGAAAGGCAGTGACCAGCTCGAGGTGTCCGTTTTACGAAAGTGTCCGTCTTATAGAGGTGTCCGTTCAGAGAGAGTGGACAGTATGCGCTTAAATGTCAGTTAAAAACTGCCTCGCAGATGGAGGTTGGATACCCGAGTCATCCAGCATAATTCAGCATTACTGGCAGGTAAATGGCCCACCGTTCTTCCCGAAAGTCCCGGAAAGTTTTGGTAAATGGGAAACAACCTCTCCTACAAAATTATTATTGTTAAGAAACCGTTTAAAACAATCCACCCATCTACCCATCTAAGTGTTTTTTGAAACCAGACGAATTGTAAATAGTGTTTTGACGGAATAGTTTTTTAAGTGAATTAATTGTGAATAGGATTTTAATAGCTAGTATTATTATCACTGAAATATATTCGATTATTAAAAATTATCTACCCATCTTGATGACAGCTTCAGTATCATGAGTAGATTGAGTGTAAAAGCAAGTAATAATTGTGCAATATATCGCAGCACTGGTGAACTCCATTGGCGAGTAAGGAAACCTAACAGAAAGGTTAAAATTCCTTAAGGTGGCTGAACACAGTTTGGCAGTTTGTGAGTATATGTCATTTGCTAAATTATGGCAAGAGAAAGGTTGCAGCTTACAAGCTGAAACTTGGCAAGTAAAAAATATACTAATGAAAGATTTTGACTGACAGGTCAAATGTGACGTTTTCGTAGTTTCCACGGCAACATGAACGATTGAATACGACCTTAAAATTTCACTTTTGCTCAGTTTACATAATATTCGCTCATTAGATTTTCCTATAAACTTGCACACAGCTTACTATGATTAATCATTACCACGTGAAATTTGTTTGACCAAATTTTAACAGACGGGTTTTTAGATAATCAATAATATGATTTTACTGTAATTATTAAATGTGTCACAAAATTCGTCTGTTCAACTTCCATTTCAAAGTTCTTATTATTGAAAGTACGATAAAAGTAGAAATTCTGCCAAATATCACAAAATTTTAATGAGTAGATTTTGAGAAATTGTCTTCTGTGTACCATTGCTTTTTTCGCCGCTATTTGTTTGTCTAATTTAAAACACACGCCGTTACGCGAGTTACCGCTGACCGCCTGCAAAACTGTGTTCAGCCACCTTAAAAGAACTGTTCTTGAGTCAAATTAGAACGGTAAATGCTTCAAGTCCAACGCAGTTTTGGAACTGAAGTGATAATATTCAATTCTCAACAGAAAAAATAAATTCGGAAAACTGGCCAGAATAAGTGGTAGTATATATAGAGCTGTCTTTTAAGCCATAAAATCTAAAGGTGACACCCGACCTGTTTATAATTTTTAGCCCTTCAGTCCTGTATCCAGATGGAGGCCCGGATATTAACGCTTCAATGTGATATGTAGTGTTCCTCTTCATGTAAGCTCCAGAGTCAAACGATACTTGAAATCCATAATAATTAGAAGAACATCCATAAGGCAAAAGCTCTGAGAAGTATGTTCCTGATTTGGACACTATAATTGTGTTGTTACTAGCATTCTTTACCTCCAATGTCACTGTGTAGCTGGTTTTGTGTCTGCCAATCAAGCAGACTCCATGAAATGTAATACTCTGGTCCGCACTAAAAGCAAGCGAGTGTTTGTCCCCTTCATAGGGAATTCCCTCATATGAAGCACACGGCTTTTTCAAAGAAGAAAATCTACCGAAGCGATCATGATTGACAAGAGACCGTCTTTGAGTCTTCGAGAACCCGACAGGAGAGGTCTGTATTGTAAAAAACTTAAACAAGCCAGTTGTTTCATCTGGAGTAAGAATGTTAGTGTCAACGACAACAGAAGCAAACTCCTTTACTGACATAACCGGGAAGCGTATTGCTTTAATTATTTGTTCTCCCAGAATTCTTCTTTTCTTTGGACCATCTTCTGTCAAACCTTGCTTTTGACATTGCTTTCCTGCCCAACGATCTACAGCTTGAAACAATACTACTTCTTGACTATTCAGAGAGTCTCGAGTGACTACTGCTTCAAGTAAGGACTTGTCAATTGTCTCAAATCCGTTCGATTCCACAGCCTCGTCTGTCTTCTGATCAATTAATTTCCAGCATCGATCTACGGTGACCCCTTCATGATACACCTGTGCAAATGACAGGATATCGAAAACATTCGACGGATCTATCTTTTCTTTCAGATATTCCGTGCATTTATCAGCTAGTGAAGGCACAATGTATTTCTTGGCCAAATATAACACTCCCATTACATTACTTCCGCTTAAATTCACTTTATCGCTGTACATGTAACGAAACAACTCCAACAGACTCTCGTAATCACAATCAGGCAGTTCAATAGTGTCTTTAGTCTCCGCCAGTTCACCGTAAAACATGGCTTCAAACACAGGACTGCTAATCGCCAGTATGAATTTGTGTGCTGCAATCACTTGGGCACTTTCGCTTTCGCCATTACTGTTTGCGGCAACAAACTTGACATCGCTCAAGCGATCGTTGTTGAGCAAAAACTTGGTTCTTTCTCTAATAGTCGGTCTTGTTGTCTGCCAGTCTGCTTTGAGGGACATATTCGTCTTGTAGTAAGGCCGTTTTAAAACGTCAAAGTCTTTCTCTGTTTTTGTTTCTGAAACCCGCAACGAAAGACAGCATGCAGAGCAGCAGAGCAGTTAATTCAGTTGTTCCAGAATAGGTAGCGCACGCGCAGACAGAATGCCCCTTCGTTAGCATTTAGCCGCTTGTGTGCTATGCATATCAAATAACCAAACCTAAGAAGTCACGCGATCTTTTGTGGAATATCACGCGATGTCTTTAAAGAGGTCACAGCACACGCAGCGAAGTTTGCACTAAACATATGAAATCTCGTACTTGGATGCGGCGCTTGGGGGAATAAATCAAAAGAAATCACCTTGAGGTTCAGAGATTAATAATACATTTATCTTGTTTTATTCCCACAGTCTTTGCAGTTGGTCTATTACTGAATGCCAAATGAATCTTTATCAGTCTTCTCTTTACAAATGCAGTGTTATAAGTGTTATATATCATGCACAATCTATTGTCAAGAATTGTAATCATCAATCCAATCTTTTAACCATTGTAGCACGCTATTTGAGGCACCGACGTCTTGCAAATTTCATTTTTGATTGACGTTTTGCACCACTTTAGGTCTGACCTACGTTGAAACACAAAAGAAACTCTTTTTATTGGTGATCTTCAGCCATCCTTTTAATGAATACGTTAGCAGCGAAAACTTGTATCTTTACTTATTAGTTTTACACGTGTGTGTTTTACATGCCAGTGCATGCACAGTGTCATAGTTTCTTTTTGTTTTACCGTTGTCTTTATTTAGGTGTAGTATTGTATTAACTCCTTTGTTTTTGTCAATATTATCTCATTAGCTACTGAAATTACTGTTATTATATATTTCAAAATTTTAAACTTACAGTTACTTCTGAAGATGTATGTGGAGACATACAAAACGTTAAGTCAGTGAATGAAATTCTATTTTAGCTATGCGCTCGTTTAGCTTCATGTTTGTCACCGCAATTTGCGTTTTATTTCTAGTCAAGCTTCGTTACCCTAAGAAGAGAGGCATTTATGATTTCAATACAAAGTTTCCATAGAAAACATTAGATATTAGGCGTTTTCGTCTCTGTCCCATTACGGCTCTTATTTTTTTCCTTTTTCATTTTGCTAGCCGGGCGTGACGTATGGATGAGTATCACTCGAGCATACGCTGACCAGCTAGCATCGCAGGGATCTCATCATCGTGCGGTACTGTATTACCTGGCCTGTCATGACACGTACAAGGCTATAGAGGTGTTCAAAACTCAGGCTATGTACAGGTACGGCTGTTTTAGAAGAGGTATTTGATACAGAATTTAGCACAGACTACAGTATAAGATAATTACACGAGGAGAAAAGTTCAGCATAGGAAACATTTGGGTTTGCTTTCAAGGCTTTTTTATCACAAGGTTATGAGTGTTGTGAAGGAGGTGTAGGCACCGGTACCCCAAGCTCAAGAGCGAGTTGCTTAACAGAAATATATATGAGTTTGTATGGAAAATTTATCGATCGTTATTTAGAGCATTGAAAAAGAAATAAATATACATCAAAACTTCCTACCTTGTCTTCTTGCCTTGTTTGTGGTATGTTCTTAGCATTTCTGGCCGTTTCAGCGCGGTTTTAGCGAGTTTTAGTTCTACCGTTGTTGTAAAGCTATAACTCGCTAAAATCGCGCTGAAACGGCCAGAAATGCTAAAACATACCACAAACAAGACAAGGGGACCAGTCTGCTATCTTCATAACGTCATCAAGTGTAACATTTACGCCCCTAACAATTCAGTCTTTAAGAAAATTAAACAAATTGAGACAATTGTCTTTCTGTTGTATTTCAGAGAGGCCATCGCATTGGCCAAAGTTCGACTGTCCCCCCTAGACCCAGTCCTCTTCGATCTTTACAGTACCTGGGCTAGGAAGTTGGAGACTGATAGTTCCTTTGAACAAGCCGCTAAATGGTAAGGTTACTGGAGCTATATAGTTGACCCAAAACGTCTTGCTAGAGGGTATGGAAAGCAATTAGACATCAACAATAAGAGTTTTCTTTGTTTTCAATCTCAAGGTACTAACCAGCAAGCCCTGCGCAAGTATCTCATTACGTAAATGGTTACTATAGCGTAGCATTCGAATCTTCCTCCCCTCTCCCCTCCCTAATACGTGCTTAACTTTATTATGCCAGCATAAGAATCCTTTATGTATCAACCGCTCACATGTTTAAGAGTCGTAGAAGAAATACATGAAGAAAGTTTCGGGGGAATGCGATACATGCTATGAAGGTACCGTAGCGTCTTTAGAAACGCTCAGCGTAGAGAAAAACATCTGGCTCTAGACTAAACGACGCTAAAATGTGTTTTCGGCGATGGTTTGGTAGCTTCCCAAGCAGCCATTTTTGTCTCGTCATTCAATACTCCTTCCCAAGGAACAGGAGAAGCGTTGCGTGACGAGACAAACACGGCTGTGTGGGAGAAAAATGGTTTGAAGACAGTATAAAGAACAAAGTCTGTGTTTGTGGTTGTAGTTACTTGGCAGTCCATTCATCATGCGATGCAGTGAGGGTATTGAGCCGCCGTGGTGATCAGTCCTCACTTAGGACGGCATTACAGGTATGGTTTAAAGAGTTTGCCTGCTATAAGTTCCCACTTAGGTGAATGCCATAGGTGCATATTTGCCCGAGCAAGTCCTTGATTTGGTCGCTCCATGTCAGCGAATCTGGATTCCGGTATCCACCTAGGAAATTTTTGCTCGCGAAATTCGGAATCCGGAAAATCTTTGCTCCTGAAATCCGGGATCCGGAAAATTTTTGCACGTGGAATCCAAATCCTTGGCTTTGGAATCCGGAATACCCACTGACAATTGGCATTCGGAATCCAGGTTCCACTGACAAAGAATCCGGAATCTAGTACCAGGAAACCGGAATCCACGGCATGGAATCCAGAATTTAAGTCTGTCTTGTCTTGGGGCGACTTTTTAACCGGCTAGTTTTAAAGACGTAATCCTGGGACTTTGTACACTGTTCTGTGTTTGGACGTATTTTCAGTATCTAATTTGCATCCAAAATTTACGCTCAACGCTTTTTGCATATTGGGAAATTTAAACCTACGTTTTCCAAGCTTGTTGTTTGTAATACTTGTTCTCCTCCATATTAACCTTTTTGATGATTCTCTAGTTTGCGGTCTCGTTCATTTTCGAAATATTTGTTTTCTTTGCAAAAAATCGCATCTCGACATCGTGTCAGTGCTCCTTTACACATCCTCGGAGACCTAGGGGCAGATAGTGGGGGCGAGGGAAAGTCTAAACGGGCGGAAAAATATGGCACAAAGAAAAGTAAAAAACGGCGAGAAGAGCCCCTGGGGACAATGTCTTACCAGACCAGTTCCAAACGGTCGTCGCCATTCTGGTTTCTGATTGGGCAGAAAAGCACAATAAGTTTTCTGGCACCAATCAGTAGCCAGAACGGCTGTGACCGTTTGGATCTGGTCTGGTAAGACATTGTCCCCAGGGGCTCTTCTCGCCGTTCTTTACTTTTCTTCGTGCCATATTTTTCCGCCCGTTTAGACTTTCCCTCGCCCCCACTATCTGCTCCTGGGTCTCCGAGGATGTCCTTTACAAGGTTTACAAGCTTTATCTTTTGCGGCGTGATTTGATGGTTGCGTTATACATAGCCCGTTTCGTCACGTAACGCTCTGCACTTGGAGGTAAACAGCGTCACATAATAACCACATCATTCTTTTGGTGTGCTCTTATTTTAGGTTGCGTTACTTTCTGATGAATCTGAACTTGCCGTATCTCTCAGCCTACGCCTCGCACACTCTTATTTGATGGCGTCAAACTGGCAGGAGGCCCACGAAGTCTTGATCAGCTGCCCGGGAGTAGAGGTGAAAATAACCAATAAAGTACTTTTCCACTGCATACCTACTTGCCTTCCAATTCTTAAGGATGCCTTACCATTTCGCCTTACCGACGTGTCGCTGGTACTGACTTATCGATGAGGACAAATTGCATGTTTGAAAGGAGTAGCGAACTTTTATTTTGAAAATGCCACTGGTTATCCCTGTTTGAGGCAGTATTTCTAACTTAAGGTAATTCCCTTGAAATTGTTCTACTATCAAACTTTTTTTGAAACTTGGCATAATCAACATTCATGATATGAACATTAAAAAAATGCAATAAAAAGATGGGGTC